GAGACGGAGGAGGAGGCTTAAATTTTCTTAATAAGGACTAAATGCTTAACATTGTTTTCATGTTTTTCTTTGAAAGTAATTGAAATGCATGTCACAGTGTAAAAAAGTGTTTATAATGACTGGAAACTCATGGGGAGGTCACTTTTACCGGTGAGAGATTGGGAAGTCTGTAAGACCGACAAGCAAAGGGAGATGAAAAGAAAGTACCCGTTTTAAATTTCAATCAAAAACTTTATTTATAAGCTGAAAAAGACTGTCGTAAAAGACGTATCATTTTAGTTGGTTCTTCTCTTTAGATGTAGCAGTTTAAAGAACTATATCTCAAATTTAGATTTTAGAATATTTTTTCTAGTGCTTTTATCCGTGCAGATCTAAAAACATTATAAATAGTGTCTCTCAGTCTTTTATCGTGTGATAACACTGGCCTTTCAGTGATAGGATCGCGTTTTCTTTCAGTTCCAAGTTCATCTGTGCACTTTCTTCAGTGACAGACATTTTCATAAATCAGAAATTTATGTTTCTTCACAATAGCAACTTCTATATGCATTTAGCGTTGCAAATTGTAATTTCAAAAAACGGATTTGTCATAAACGATTTAATTGGTAATTAAAATAGATTTAAAGTGTTTTCTATCTAGATTTTATCACGGATTAACACACCAGCTGCCCAGGCGAGTTTCATAGAAAAATCACATTTCTACATCTTTTATGCTGGTGGGCCATAAAGATAGTATCTTTACTCGCACGCGCTAACTTAAATGTGAAAAAATAAATTTGCAGGTATTTAAAAATCTTTAAAGTCATTGTAGTCTAATTTTATAGCGATCTTAACTTTTAATGGCTACTTAACAAACCGTCAAATTTTATGCGAAAGAAGAAATGGTTTCAAACTAAAGTAACGTTTTTTGGAATTTCCAAAATTTCAGTTTTCAAGTGGGTGCCAGGTTGTAGTAAAAGCGGGCTTTTGCCTAAGACAGCAGCTATCATTAAACAATGTTTTTGTCAATGTGTCACCAGTTCACATTTGAGCTAGTTAAGAATTTGAAAAATAAGAAATCAATCTGCTACCGTCACAATATGCCAATTTTCAAGCCATAAAATGCTCAGCGCCATTCAAAAAAACCCCAGCTCAACAACGAGATTTCAGAAGCCCTCAGCATCGCTCTATGTAAACCTATCTTATAATAACACACCGTTGACAACTACCAAAAAGCTCCACAATATGGCGTTGAATGCCCTACTGTCATAACGTCTTTAATCAATGGCTGAAAAATTTACTACCTTTCTCAATTGCACGTGATTTAATTGGGAGTTGGTCGGTGATTTGAGAGAGTCGCTCGAGCGTCTTCGCCGTGAGAAAACAATACTTTAGATTGATATTCATATCAAATTCTAGTTCTACCTGGGTATTAAATTCTTTTACAGCACGCAATATGGCCCTCAGCTTCCCTAGCAACCTCTGGTCTTTCCGCGCAGTCACGCCATATACCCGTTAGCCAAGAAAATAATTACCACTGAAAAACAGTGACATTCATAATTTGTAAGCAGAGCGTCGCTGCTTTTGCATACGCAGTATTCGACTTAACAGCCTTTTTGACATTGTAGTGTGTGCTAATTAAAGACGGTTGCCGTAAGAAGTTGACGACGTGAACAGTTTTAACAGCAATGTCCACACAAAAGAATTGTTACTCAGTAAGTGGGTAACATCGGCACCACACCAGGAGAAAATTGTCAATAGCAGGAAAAAAATTTATTTTACAGGAGTTTCGGGTTAGGTGCTTGCATATCGTCTTTCGACTTCTTTTCAAACAGATCACGTGACGAAACTTTGATTAAATTCGTGTCATTTTGAAATCTTTATTTTCTTCTGCTTCTATTTTTTCTCCCCCCATCTTAAACTTGAAATGATGGTAATGATATTGGAAGATTTTATCAAATTAATCATGGCTGTTATAGAAAATCTGATATTTATAAAATGTAGAAATTTGAGTATTGACAGATTAAGTTATTCAGTCAAATTTGAACCAAATAAAATTTCGACCCGCTCCTTAACTGGTTATCTGCTTATTAAACTCATATTCGATGCGTCTACTAGTATATCAACTTGGGTACTTTAGATAACGAATAACCATTTATCGTTGCCGTCTGATTACGAGGCTCTTTGTGACTGCGCTCTGCGCTAATGGTGTGCCGGGATGGGGTGATGTGCGGCTATTGTTACTTTGCTTAACCATTTATCATAAACGTTTTCTAATCGTATTTTTTTTTGCATCGCAAGAGATGAAGGGAAGATAGGAAAAGGTGCCTGTGGCTTTTTATGTTCTTATACTTAAATACGCAAAATACCTTCGACCTTATTTTTTTTCTTAAGATTTTAATTTTAAGTTCAGTTTGGGTTATGGGTAGACAATGCTTTAAGGTTTCCATCAAGGGACGCCGAATATATTTACAGGAACAGTTTTACTTTTGCCATGTTTGATGACTTCTAAAGGTTGTATATTATTTTGATATACTATAATGAATTATTAATCTTGATTTTTCTAATTGATCACAATAAAAGAAATAAAGATAATATTCATCATATTCAAAGAAAATAAACGAGAGTTGCATTTTGTTTATTAGATATATACTAAACTCATTCTTGAGTAAAATATTTTAAGGTATGGCCATCTTAATGCATTTCCTCCGCTTTGAAGGGTATTTAAATAGGCTAGAGCTACTGTTAAATACGTTGAAACCAAGGGTCTTTTCTGATATTTTCAAAGACTATTAATATTCTACCTGATCAACCACTATTCTTCTGAGAAAATTTAGGGAAACTTTGAAAACAGGCACTCATTTTAGAAAATTCTAGGGTTTTTTTTTAATTAGGCTCTCTAAGTAGGAAATTGGTCAAACATGTGTTAAAATTGGTGGGGTAGGGTAACATTTTTATACATATTTCATACATTTTGAGTAGAAACAATCATTTTGCTTATGTGGATCGTTAGCTGAATGTTACATGATGTTTTTTTATCAAAAGTTATTGGGAAAACATCTTTCATAAGGATGATATTGTAAGTTATTTAAAGGTTTCTTATTTCTGAAAAAGACCATTCCAACACCCAAGATGAAATTCAGAAAGTGGACATAACTCGATTTCCGTACGGTAAAGTTTTTTTAAATGTTGCATACAGGGGTCCTTTTAGGTATATATCTGACATATGTTGTCAATTGTTCAGTTCCTTATAGTGCCCGTTAGGATTCAGGATGGTCATACCTTATTCAAGAAAATTTATTGAAATCTATAAAATTCTTATTGAATATGTCTATTTTGAATAAAAGAATGAATAAACTATGCATGGGAAGCTGTGTACCCTATTATGGCATAGCAAAGTTGGTACTTTCTTTAAAAAAACTACCAGCTTTTTAATGACAATTTATATTCATATTGTGACCAACTATATGGTGTAGAATTTTAAACATAACATCTCTACTTTGTGTTAAGTCAAAACTTTTTTTCTATGTTTAAAAAGACAGTGAAATAATTATCAATATTTTCTAATATTAAATTTGAGCATAGCATTTCTTTTATCATTTAGCTGTCAACGAGAACTCTTGTTCTGAGGTTCAATAAGATAAAACATATGCGTTTCTTTTCAACTATCTTTTATTGCAAATTATCTAGTATGAATCTATGCATAAAATGGCACATAGAAAATAAAATCACAAACATATTGCATGTCATAGAATAAACAACACAAATATACCATTTTATTTAAGGAATATTTAGCATCAAAAATATTTTCCACTTCCTGTAGAAAGAACAAATATGTATTTTAACATGTGAAAATTATTTATCAAATCTACATGCCTCCAGATGAAACAACTATTTCAAGAAAAACCAACTTTAGATAAAAATAGTGTGCTAAGATTTTTAGGAAATGATTAAAGATTCAAGTAATAATATACATGTTATATGCCCTTAACGACTGATTTATCGATATGTATCACATACCTCTACAATAAGTGCAAGTTTTGCATATCTTTACCTCTGATCACTTTTGCAATTTACGCTTTATGTGGATTATACGTGCCGTTTGCAATTTTTTACTTCACAATATTTTTCTTTTAAATACATTTTCAAAATTTTCATGAAAATAAGCATGAAACTGGAGGCAGGCTTCTATTAGAACATTTATGATGCTCATAACTTGTGGTAAAAAGTGCCTACTGTTAAAAAAAAATCTGCTAAAAATAAAAGGCGTTTGGAAAAAGGAAAGATTCTATTTTTAGGCTTAATGAAACTTTTATAGTAAAATTCAACGATAGGATTAAAATCTGATATGTTTCTGTTTTCTTTAGCCAAACTTTGAAGTAGATAAGATTTTAAAATATTGATCTAAACAGTAAAAAGAAATATAAAATCTGAAAGATAAAGATTAAACAAAAGTAGAATTTTTACAGTTGTCATGCCATCTTTTTTGTTAAAATAAAAATATAAAACTCTAAATTAGTTTCTATTTAGTATAGAACAAATGGTTCCATTGATATATATGTATTAAAATATATTAAGATGTTTAAAGTTATCTTTCTTTCTTTTGAAAATAAGAAAAAAATCCCTTTTTCTATGCTTATAAATCTTTCTAAATCTTTTAATCGCAGTTTTTTCCCGTCTTTTTGAAATTATATCCCCGTATTCTGTTGTCATACTTTTGCCGACTAGTCCCGTTAACATCGTTTTGTAAATGTAATTTGTTTAAGTAGTTAATTCCTACAGGTAGTCAAATGCACGTTTGAATGGCAACCCTATTTCATAATTGTACCAATGACTGCGTTTTAAAATATAATCATTATTATGCACACAAAAAAAAACAAATAATTGAAAAAACAAATGACGATCTATTATTATTGTATATTCTTAAAATAGACATAACTCATTAAAAAATTGTAACAAAATTGAAAGAAATTTTGATGAATTTAAATATAACATCCAATTCGTTAATGCTTTATGTTATTGAATTTAAGAAACAGATTGTATCATTTATCAAAGCTTCAATTTCAACACGAATTATTCTACTATCCTCACAGACTACACATTACAAACATTGCTTTTAAATATCACAAAGTAGTTTTATCAATAAATATATATTTAATTTAATTAGAAAATTTAATTGCTTGTTTTCATTTGATCTATAAGAACGATAGTTTTTGCAACAAAGAAGTTGCACCATGATTCAACAAATATGGAGGTACCATTCCCCTTTGACACCCGTAAGCAGATGGCTGAGAGAAAAGACCTTGCCTAGAAAATCCGGGGAAATAGCCCTGATGTTGGTGAGGTGTTCCAATGCTAGGTTGAAACAGGCCGCCGTTTCCAATATTGTTCATAGGTGCATTTGGTGAGCTTGGACCACTGTTTGATTTCATACTAGCACTTGCATTTGACCCGTCGTGAAGTTTGCGGATATGTTTTTTGAGGTCAAAGTTTCTACAGAACCCTTTGGAGCATATCGTGCACGTATACGGTTTCTTATCATTATGCGTGTGCATATGGAACGTTAGATTGTAAACCTGATGGAAAGCTTTGTTACAAATGGTACACTTGTACTGTTTCTCGGTGCTGTGGGTGAGTTTATGGTTTTTGTAATTGCCCTTCTGGTGGAAACCCTTTCCACAAAATTCGCACGTGAAGGGTTTGTAGTTGAGATGTATGCGCATGTGCGTGTTTAGGGTGGAGCTACGATTGAACGCCTTACCGCACGTGGCACACTTATGCGGTTTCTCTGACGTATGTATTATCTTATGACGACATAAGGTGCTCGCTTGACGGAATCCCTTCCCACAAACTTTACATATAAATGGTCTGGCACCTGCAATAGATAAATATCAGAGTTTGTTTGAGAATTGTTATGATTGAAACGAGTTCAAATATTTATCAGAAAATTAGCATTATTAACTAAATGATAGTATCCTTTGTCAACTTTTACAATTATGAAAAGGCAGCATAGTGCTTAATCTATTCAACAAATCATTAATTAGTTTCCAATATCTGTCAAAAGCAAGCCATTGAAGGCTTAAAAAAGCATTTTGAGAATATAAAAAATATCTAAAATAAATAGTGCCATAGAAAAATAGATTTGCAATAAAATAAGAAAAGAAAAACAACAAAAAGAAAAACAAAAATCAGACATCCATAAATCGCATAGGCGGCGTTTGAAAAAAGTGTTTAAGTCTAAAAATACCGCTGAATATAAAATATGTATTACGCAACTAAATAAGGTTCCTATCAATTGCTATTTTTCCGCCTGGAAAGTGTTTGAATTGAATATATTTGCTCCCACTGGATTTTAATTCCCTCATATCTCAAACAAGGCACCAATTCTAGTTGACATTTGCTTTATTCAAAATAACCCATCAAATTAAGTTATGGAAAAGAATAATCAATTATTTACTGGTTTGAAATGCTTGCATGGAAAAGATAATTTCTCGTACAGACATCATCAAAAAAAATGAATAAAATATCGAATCACGTGCTCATTCATTCTTTTTCTTACCATTTCATGTAATAAACAATTTAATTCTACAATTGTTTGCTTTTCTCTCCTTAATAATTTAACGTTTGTTATTTTTCTATGATAAAAGAAAAATTCAAAAGTTAAAAGTAACATTGAAAGCAAATATGTTAAGTAATCGTTAAGAAAGTATTTCTTAATGTGCAAATAATCTTAAAATTGTTGTTGAAAAAAAGTAATAAAAAACATACCTGTGTGCACTGGCATGTGTCTCGTCAAGTTATAATGTGCATTAAATAATTTCCCACATTCCGGACAAGAAAAAGACTTCTGTGACTTTGAGATCATTCTTTTAGCCGTGCTTGGCGATGGTGAAGAACCGTTTTCCTTTGAGATATCCAAATCGTTTGTCTTTACGACATCTTCCTCAGTTGACGGTCCAGTAATATTGCCATGCAAGTTTTCTTGTTGACGGTCTCTTGGTGAACAGTCAGGATTTTTTATATGTTGACTGTAGTGCTGATCTTTCTCTTTTTCTTGTGATTTTTCTTGTGGAGACATATGCTTATTTTCTGGTGAGAAATATTTCATATTTGACCAGCTTAATGATTCTAGTATATGACTATTGTTTTTATTTGTTGATTGCCACTGATGTTGTATGCCTGAAAGATTTTGCAATATTTGGGCTCTATAATCGTCGGAAGTTAGCCGTCCAAACATAAATGCCGGATGAAGACATGCTACATTGTTCATATTGACATCAAATAGTTCTCTTCCCATGTAAGGCATAATCTGACGTTTTTGAATCTCACTTTTAATAACAGCGGCCGCATGCTGGTAATGCGTGGCTAAATATTCTTGCTGTTTTCTGAATTCATCATTTATCGCCATCTTCGCTCTTTTCACTGGCTTAAAACTGCTTCTTTCAAAATCATCTATGTTTGCATTATCAGAATAATTGTCATCACTTTGTCCTTTCCGTTTATAAGGTCTATCAGATTCGCGATCACAATTCGCAACAACTTTAGGTTCTAATGAATCCGTTGTTGTTCCCATTATCTTGTCTATGGAGAATGCAAGCGGCTGCTTTGATGACATTTTAATGCAATTTTGGTCATCAGAAAAATCCATCATTAAATATTCTTCACAGCTCTGAAAAAACAAAGTATTTTATATTAATAATATATCAAATGTATTAATATAAGAACATTAGTAATAATTTTATACTTTTTTTCTAGTATCATAAATCAAAAATATAGGGATATTAATTGCAAGTATAAAATTAAAAATGTTATTTTGCTTAATCTCACTTACCCTAAAATGAGCTGCTGCCTTGATTCCAAATATAACAAAACTGTATCTAAAATGCCAGGAATTGAACTTAAGTCGCCTTCGTGTCAAATTATGAGAGCCCTTGACTGAAATCGGGTATATATCAGAGAACCGGCTATTGTAAACATAAAACATCACTTTATCATCATTAAATGACAACTTACACCCATTGAAAAGTGTCAATTCAAATTTTCATTCTGTATAATAAGCCAGAACGCCCATAATAGGACTTTACTTTCATATGGACTTAAACCGGCCAATCAAAAATCGGATTCAGCGTTTGTGTACACGCCTTAACCAATAGAAATGAAAGAAAATGACAATGGATTTATGGATAATTGAGCAAATCAACCTCGCGAAGTTCATTTCATATAATGGACCAATACTGCCTGTTAAAACTCGCTGAATAAAACCGAGTATTTCGATTCTGTTCACGGTAGGAAATGATTGAAGAAAATCTAGGCGTTGTTTTTTTTCCGGACACTTTCATTCAAATATTCAAATATTAAAATAAAGAAACAGGGACGGAAAACGCCGCGTCTGTTTAACAATGCAAGCATATTTTGAAAAAAAAATAAATTTGACGGATTTTTACCGGGATATAAATATGTAATGGGAGTTGATTATCGTAAATGAAGTTAAGATGAAAAAATAACTTTTCTCAAATTAATCGCAATACCAATGATTTGATACTGATGACATATTTTTTAATCGTAAATGTATTGTTCAGATGACCCGCTTAAGTAAAAGAACACATTCGTATTTCTATAATTATTAGATATAGAAAATATTTCGAATTTGACACATCTTTCAGCGTGGCAAAATTTTATCATTTAAAGAATTGGAGGAGGAGATTTTTGCAGTCATTATTGTACATAACGCTTGTCATAAAACTCTATCACTGCCCTGAGCGGGCGAAAAGGTTAACCCGGTGGTAGAGTGACATTGAATTCGCGATCTAGTAATTGGGGCTGAGCCCAGAGCGAAACAGAAACAAAGGCTCTTGAAGACAATATCACAGAAGGTGGGGGAGCTAATTGACAGTGGAGACGAAATGGACAGCGTGAAATTTACACCCGATTGAAGCATTATTGTGGGGTTTGCTCTTTTGACAATTGAAACGAACATCCTTAGCGCTTGGAGGAAAACTGACGGTGTATAATTTAAGATGAAAATGTAAATTCACGCATTTTTACGAACAACCAAAATTGTAATGCCCTTTTTGTAATTTTATAGAAATAATGAATCATTTACCTTATCCAAAATCAAATTGTGTGATTGAACAAAACTTTAAATTGACAGGTGATACAACTATATTTAATAAATGACGATTCAAACTTGAAATTAGACCAAGAGGTTACAATCTTTTATATCTTTGCCAAATATAATAAAATTATTTTGTTCTTATGATAAATTTGAAAATGTGTGTACCTATCTGAAAAAAAAAGAAGTTTAAACAAATATTTTCCAGAATAAAGGACAAAATGAAAGTCCTGGATTATGTTCCTAACATTAATGGGGTTTTTAATAATATGTTTCGGCCGCTGTTATCTAATAACTTTTATAAAAAGTGGTTAGCCATCCCAGTTTCAGGATAAGTGTCCCTTTTGAACATTCTTTAATATGAAAAAAATAGATGACAAATGAACCCATAAATCATCCTGATATAATACCTGATATAATTTCTACAATATCAACAGAATCACTAAATACTTAAGGAAAAAATATTTAACAAAAATAATGTCGTCTTTAGAATGAAATTAAGCTTAAAAAATCAGAAACACTTTGATAAAGTTATAGTATAATAATTAATTTCTTATTTTAAGTGTACATTTTGTGCATCTTGGTTGCCTATATACTCCTATAAAACTGACAATGTATATAATAATTACTTATCTATTTCAAATAAGTAAGCATTTTGTAATAAAATTATACTTATTTATTGGTTTGCATACTAGGATAATTGAATAATTGAATGAGAGAAAAAGGAAAAAAGTTAAAATAACATTTGCTTAGTTTGTACATTTTTTAACCGAAGTTACTGTACACGGATACATCTGTTATGAATAAAAGAAATTGTTTTTAATTAAAAAAAAATTCCGGTCAAATGTCAGTTGTATAAAAGGGGTTGTTGTGTAAAGGAAATAGTTCGGCACTTCAGCAAATTTTGCGGTCTTTAGGTGTTTCGTTTGCTTCACGCCCTTTTCGGCAGGGACCTGCTTATTATATACTTTAGTCCCCGACATCTAGAGAAAGTATAAAATGTGAAAGTTGATATCATACTGTGAAATAACCACGGATACGGCTTTTAATAGAATTTTGAGCATTTATTTTACAATACCACTCTGTCATCGTATCTCAAACTGTTGGAAGTCAGTAAACAGACTTTACTAATGGGTTAAAGCATTGCTTCCACACAGGTGTTTAGTTTTACAATTACACTGATGCGGCGTTATTTCCTAAAATGTCCCGATTGTGTAAGGATGAAATCCAACTTGTCGTGAGTTGCTTAGGGTAATTATAGATCTTCGTGGTCGTTTTAAATCATAATGTTTTGACAATTAGTAGGATGTGATATGGTTTTGACTTAAGTGTTTGGTAAATATTGAATCAAAATTGGGAAAGGAAGCTCATTTATTTCTTTTGTGGTAACATTTAAAAGACTTAACGTTGTGCTTTTCAGGATATTTTTTCTCATTTGAATTAATCCAACAATTGGCACTAATATATCACTTTTGTAAGTGTTAACCAAATAAATTCAACCAAAAAAGTCCTTCGCCGCCGTGATATCCCTCGTTAGCGCGCCTTTTCCACGATCATAATTAACATTCGCCATACCTGCAGATAATAGTCCGCTGCACTTGTAATTGTATTGTAAAAAAATATTTAAGAAGAATTTATAGACCAAGGACCAATATTTTTTATCAAAAAAATAGAATAATTTGAATAATTACGCAAATGCAATTAATTAATACTTTTATCAGTTTAAACCACTGAAGAAATATCGCCTAGTTCTAAAAGCAAATCTGCGAATATTTCAAATCAGGCATATTATCATCAAATATCTCTTTGAACTAAACAATCACGTGGTGCTTTAACCTTTATGAACATTTAATTGTTTAACATTTATTAACAGTGATCAATTTCATTAATTGCGAAACGCTTTCAAAAGCACATCATTTTCTGCGTCTCTTTAACCAAGATGAATAATTCATGTTCTGTGAGCGCTTGTAAAATCCCGTAGAGGACTGGGATGAATTGTTCCCGGCAAAAATTGACAAAAATGGTTGATATGATGGCAAATTGTGCCGTTCAACCTTTGTAAATTGGTCTGTGTTGTTGATATTAAACTCTGCTCCGAGTGGCTGTTAATTCATTTGGTGGCTTCATGATTTGCAGTCGCATGTGACATATTTATCTGATGAAACAGTGGTCTCTATCACGATCATCTGTTTGACTCACCACGTGGAGGCTCCGCACGTGCCAAATGTATTTAAAGAAACTGATCCGTGGTTATGAGGCGGTCGCATCAGCAGCATTGTCAACCGCCTTTGAAATATGAAGAAAAATAATTTCTTATCTTTTATCTTCAAAGAATAGTACCCTCTTGAAATTTATGGAAATATATGTTCGTTATCTTTGTTTCTATTGCACGTTCAATGGCGTTCCATGAACCGTAAATAGTTTGTTTCAACTCTGTTAATTTAATCGCGTAATATCACGGCCATTAAAATTCAAAGTAAATACATTTGATTAATTAATACAATGCAATGTTTTAAAAGCAAACGTTGAGGACGTGATGCTATTGAGGTATAAGAAAAAACTGTTTCCGCCGATGTAAAGGAGGACAGATAATCTGATAATTACGCTGGTGGGCAATACAGGTGCACGCTTCTGACTTAATCACTTTTTTTCCATGCTAAAAATAAAAGAATGCTTTATCTGCTTTTAATATGCAAATAACTTTTAAAAAAAGTGTAAAAATTATGCTATTAATTTTGAAAGATTTTTTTTCAAAGGAATAATATTTAATATCGTTTTCACTAATAACATGCTTTTGGATAGCGATGGGGCGGGCGGTGCTGCAGTGGTATACCAAAAGGTGAACGACTTGTTCTGATATTTATCAGATACAGGGTTTAACAGAATTACAGTAAATGTAACGGAATACATTTTAAGTTATTCAAAATTATTAATCTACATTATTATGTGTTTCAAATGGTAAATTGAATTATTATTTTTGCTCTTTGAGCTGCAATTGCAACATTCTCTATCATTTTCCCGTTTATTCAAATCAAATCAGGAAAATCAGTACCTATACATTATACTAAAAAGGCAGAAAAAGTGGCTATGCCTAAGGAAACTTACATATTGAATTATAATATCCAAAATGGATATATTGATAATTTTAGCTACTATATTATATAAGATAACTTACATATTAAAATATAATGTTGAATATGAATATTGTATTAATAATTATAGCCACTATTATACCTGTATAATGACCAAGGCAACTTACATATTGAATTATAATATCCAAAATGAATATTGTATTGATAAATGTAGCTACTATTTTATAGTAACCAAGGCAACTTTTACCTTGAATTACAATATCTAAAATGAATATCGTATTCATAATTGTAACTTCTTTTAAATAATGGCCAAGGCAACTTACACATTGAATTATAATATCAAAAATGAATATTGTATTGATCATTTTAGCTACTATTTTACAAGTATAATGACCAAGGCAGCTTACATATTGAATTATAATATCCAAATGAATATTGTATTGATCATTTTAGCTACTAT